AAAAATCTTTAACTACAATACAAATATATGTATTAAATTGTTTTTATATTAACAAAACAGTTTTTAGTGCATCGAACAGTGATCCCTTTTCTTTTTTTATTTATTTAGTAAATAGCTCTACTTTTTTTGTTTTCCTGCATACTACATTCAAATTTACGCCAAACACCGGCAAGTTTTGGCGATCTTAGCCGTCACTATTGACTTTGGATTTATTTTTTTTATTATTATTTTTTTGTATTTGTTATTTCGGTTGTGTGGTAGCAGCCGATGACGCTGCAGTTGACGATTCGTCTGGTTAAATTTTTTATATAAGTAGCGTGTGCCCAACTCATGCCAAATTATTCTACCAACCACCGCCGACGCGCTCAAACGTACCGTGACAAGAAGAAGAAGCATACCTCACGCATACGTACATACATATATTTTTGAAAAAAAAAAAACGGCTGCCAAATAAACTATAGAAGTCTTGAAAAAGGAATAATTTACAAAAGTGTGAGTGCGTGTATTATTTACTAATAAAGGTGATTAAGTTGGAAAATTTATAAACATAACTGGACTGTACATTAATTAAAAAATTAAGGTTTTGTGAACGCACAATAAACGCATCATAGATTATTTTTAAAGTGACCAAAAAAAAAAACTACGGCTAATGTTGCGGGCAATGGGCAAATAATTTTATAAGTGCATAGAAAATCTGGATCTTACTTCTTACCAATGTATAATCAGAAAAAAAATATTTTTGACCTGGACCGTTTGACAGAAAAAAAAAATTAGCAAAAAAAAAATGTATGCAAATATTTGTTTCTCTAATAAGTGACAAGAAAATGCATATGTACGGTATGCACATCCTTAGTTTGAGTTTAGATAAATGATATTTGAATTAATAAGGCATCATTTAAAATAGTTTAGTTAGGAAGCAACCCGTCCTAGTTTCAAAAGGTGCTATTTTTTTTTTTTTTTGTTACTTTTAAAGTTGTTTTTGCTGTATCTGCACTACTAAACACTGCTTAAATTCGGCTATCCATCGTCGTCATAACACTAAACTAACGATATACCCAGGAAACGGGCTGTTTCGACCCGATGGGCCCAAAGGGAAATTGGTGTTAGCAGATTGGGTTTAAGGACCAAGGGAGACGAGGTTGATGTCGTCTGAACATTTATTGGGTATGTCAGGGTCGAGTCTAGATAAACAACAGTTTAACCTGTTGGGGTATCCAGTCCATAATTGCGCCATAGTTATACGGTTCTCCCGAAGCAGCTGAAACTCTCCGTCTATGATGGGTCGTGGTGAACTCCAATGATGGCGTTCACGGGGCGAGATTTTGTATGTCTGGATCTCGCACGTCAATCCAAAGATATACCTCCTGGCCTGCTTAGAGGTGGGTCTGCTCCCAGCGAATTCCAGTTCGGGTGTTCCGTGCGCTGGCAGCTGAGTAGGAATTGTTTACTGAGCATAAAATTATGTTCCCTAACGCGGATTTTGCAGGCTCACTACATAGGTGGTGGCAGTCCTGAGTACGGTGTTCTGGAAGATCTGTAGCCTCGTTCTATGCGTTGACTAGAATGGTGGCCAAAAACACGACCAGGAGCGATTTGTGGACTTCTTTTGTGATTTTTAAGCAATTGGGTATGGACTCGTAGAAAGGGAGAGGGCGAACCTATAAAATGTTTGTGTTTACGGCCGGGCTTCATCCGGGTGGTGAATAGCATCGGTCAAGGCTCCGTGCAGATAAGAAGAGGAAAATTATAGGGTAAACGCTAAGTAGCTCGCCGTCTTTACGACAGTGCTTAGGTCTTAATTGCAAAGCACCTACTTAAAGTCGTCTAAACTATTCTCATTTGTCATTTCAGAGCTGCGGAAATGAACAAAAAGCTGCTTGTGGTTGTATTCGCAGCCTATTTATGTGGTGGTTTTGCTGTGAACGTAGAAGACCATTGGGTGTGGTCCAGACGAAGCGACACCGACCGCCAATCGCGTCCGTTCCACGATGAAGTTTCAGCGAAATATCAAGGTATTACACTACGCCGCAATGCACGGGCACGCGACCGCGAGCCCACTACACGGCGCCCACTTCCAGGACAACCACAAAACGATGAGATAGACGATTATACAGATGAAGAAGTAAACACAAATGTTGGCACACGCAATTACCCCTACCCTCCTTTCGGCAATGGTCAGCTATTCGGCACAAACAACTACCCGGGCATCGGCGGTATTGGCAATCCCGTTGGCAGCGGTAATGGCATATTGGTCGGACCTGGTGGGCCGACGGGTATAATTGGACGTCCGCAATCACAATACCCCGGTGGTTTCCTGTCCAATGGCTTCATCGGGCAACCTGGAGTAGGATATCCGACACAACCAGGTGTTTTCGGAGGTGGTAATGCGGTGGGCAATGGTTTCTTAGGATCGGAAAGCGGTCTAAATCCTGGCTTCGTGGGACAGTTCGGTGGTGCGGGACAATATCCTGGCGGGCAATTTGGGGGAAGCGGGCAGTACCCAGGAGGTTTCGCGCCAGGTGGCACTCAATATCCGGGTGGTCAAATACAAGGCAATCAATTTCCTGCTGCCCAATATCCTGGCGGGGTGGGGCCACAGTATACAGAAGGGTATGGTCTCGCTTACACTGGAGGTGGTGGGTTCCCAGGCTATATTCCCTATCCTGGCGGTGGGCGCCCTCTTGGCTATGGTTCAATATTCAATGACAATGGAAACATAAATCGGAAACTGCAGGCGGAGGGAAAGAGTGCGAAAAGCAGCAAACTCACCGAACAAGTAGATGATAAGATCAATAAGGCTTTCAAAAAATTACCTAATTAGGCAACGGCATTAAAAATGCTTATGTTTGTAAATAGAAATGTATTTATGTTTTTATGTAGCTTTACTGTTAGCTTTAGCATTAGTTATCAGCTTAAATATTGTACGCTCACCTATGGTAGTTATAACGATGATCGAATAAAAAAGTGATCCAGCAAAAGTCCATTGCGACTTTGTAACGTCCTCATCACCATCCCAACCATTTGTTTTAATAGCGGTCACTATTTGTGTTTCGAAACCAGCCAAATCCTTCTTTACATTTGAAATCCATTCGCTTTCGGAGAGCACAGAGGCATTATCGGAAAAGCGCCATATTTTGTCCGTTAAATTGAGTCGCAGGTATTGGATATCCCTCTTCACCTGTAGAGAAAGAATTTTTCTAAGCATTTTCCGAGAGCGCCCCTCTTGATAAGGGTGTAGATGTATGTTAGATAGTAAGTATTATTTTTTTCAACACACATACTATATGTATGTACCAGTCAAGCGGGATTTTCGGACAAACTGGCCTGTCCTGAGCCCGATGGGAGAAACCAGTTAAGTTTAGGCTGAACGCGGACACAGTTGGATGCAACAATACTATGGACTGCGTAGCCGGAGTCGGACGGAGGAGGGCTATTTATTTAGTTCAACTTAGGCTTAATTGGTTTCTTCCGTTGTAGAGGCCTACTTGGCCCTGCCTAGATCGGCTTGTCACTTCGTCGTTGTCGTCAAGGTCAACTAACGGGAAGCCTAAGCCACTGGGTTGGGCCACTTGAGTGGGGTTTAGAGGGCATGCGTAAAGGTGTGCCGAGTCATGAGGTGACTCCGCATCCCGACCCTTCATCATTGGGTACATCTGCATTTATTCTACCTAGGTAGGAGTTTAGCCAACAGTAATATCCAGAGATAAGTTAGTAGAGGAAGTTCTATTGTCTCGTCCACGTCAGGTGGCTGGGTACACAAAACGGCATTTACAGGTCGGAAGTTGGTGTAAGTTGAGACCGACTCCCTATGAATGCCGTTTATGGCCTGCCAGTACGCTGTAGGGTCCAAAAGTTGTTTTTTGAACTTCTGGACCCTCGGTCGTGTACTACTTCCGTGGTAATTTAACTCACTTCGATTTCGTGTGGTTTTTCCAGATGTTGAAATAGATATGCTCCTCCAACGCAATAAGAGACCACCAACAACACCAAAATCACGTGCGACACCACACATGAAATCACCTTCCATGAGAAGCAAATCGCAGTAATGCATTTTCCGCGCGTCGGCTTTTCATCTAGCATATGAGGCGGCAGTGAATGCGCCCGTCGGGTCGACATATTAGCGAAAATCTGCACCCGCGCTCGATTTACGTTTCAAACACAGAATCAGTTTCAAGTACAGAATTAAAAATTTTACCAATTATTCACATTCATATAAACATTTGCACTTTGGTCAAACATAGTACGGATGTATATGAAGGTATGTATGGATATTGTTGAGCGCTAAGATGCACGCGATAGCTAGTAGGCCAACACACATTCGGGGAGTGAAATTGTTTGGTTTATTTTAAGATCGTACATACATACAATATGTGTGTATGTACGCACATTTTGTTGGTTTATTTTTGGTGAGATGGAAACTACTTGCTAATGAGACAAAAGGGAACCAACACAATCGCTCGCACGAAGTAAATTTTAAAAATTTTCTATGGATACACACACGGAGCGGAGCGTCCAATATTGCTGAGATTTTTATATTTTTTACCACTTTTCGGATTCAATTTAGCATCCGTTTTTGTTTAGACTTTATTTTTTATTATATTTCAATATTTTAGAAATAAATCGTAAATTTACAAAATTTTTCTATATTTTTTAGTACATATTATTTATTTTTGTTTCTCGCTTCCAAAATAGAATGCGTTCGCGCGATTATTTTCCAACCAAACCCCACGCGTACTGAGAGCATACTAAATAGGCCCCATAACATTTCGTAGCATTCATTTTTTGGAATACTCACTAATTTTTGGCCGAATGCTAAGAAAAATAAACAAAAAAATTTAAAACAGAACAGGGGCAGTTTTATTTAATTTCCAACTGGTGTGGAATCCCTTTAGATTCCCAACTTCTTGTTTGTAATCAGTCCAGCCAGATAATTAACAAATGCTGGATAATTTATGAACTAGATTCCTTTAATTTAAGCTACCATCAACAGAAACAGGTCGTAAAACAATAATCATACATGAATTTAATAAGAAATAATAAAAAACATTTACATGCACTTCGGTGCTGTCCATGTCGTTTGCAATTTGAATCTCGTATCCTAAAAATGGTCATCACCAAATACAGCTAGTTAATGTATTGCGTTGAAAATCAACAGCGAAAAATATATTTCAAATGCATCGTTTGCACAGTGATTGAGGTAATAACTGAAATGCTTGACTTATTGGTATTTTGAAATAGTGGGTAAGGGCGCAAAGTCCCCGCGCTTTCCAAGGGTGACAACTTTTGATGATCCTCCAACAGACCTGGTAAAGATTATACATTAATTTATTAAATTCAGATACACACACATATCGCACGTTTAATAATATAACGAAGTATTTAAAATTTTAAATTTTGTGGGAAAACGCAATCAAAGTTTTATCATTTCATACAGTTGCTATGCAAGGAGAAAGATGGCAATAGAAATATCTTCGCCATATTTGGAAGTTTGGTTAACTGTTAGACTAAACATACTATATTTATCAAGCTTATTGATTGCATACTGAAATCTCCAAAAACTTAAATTTTGAGTTACATCTCTTTATTATTAAACGTGTGATATATCTATTAAAAATTACCTCCAAAACAACGAACTACCACGCTTAAGTTGGCCCCGAGTTTGTAAGTCATTCCAACAATCAACCCAGTTTTTGTATTCTGGCATTATAGGAGGTCGGCCAGCCATTAAACGTGAGCTCGTCACCGACATGCAAGTGGAGACCACTTGAAGAGGATATAAGATGCTTGAGAAGGCGAACTATATCGAATGGAATATATATTAATGGCTTTTTTTTATTGAAATTGATTATTAATATACAAACCTGCACAAAACCTGCATTATACTGTCTGCCAATTTTATCCTTAATAACATATTTGTTAAGCACGAACACTGTCGTACTTGTCAACACCAAACACACAACGTCGCAAAGTAGTTTTGGAACTAATCCAGCAAAGAAGCCTAAAACTCCTTCAGTTTTGTAAATCTCTTTAATGGAACCAAAAATCGATTGATAGAGCGTTTCTCGACCAATAAACTGTGCCATCATTCGCAGAGAGATGACATGAAACGGATGCGACACAATAATTCCGGATACGCTCAAAACCACATCCCGCTTTAGATTCACTTTGAATTGGACGTAACTGCAAGACAAAATAAAAAAGAGAATCTGTAGTTGGACAGAAATGTATATATAAAATGTGTATTTTGTTATCATACTTACAGTTCTTCTTCGGTGAGGCCAAAGTCGTCTTTGTCTTTATCATCGATAGCTGGAAGGCCAACTTTATCTGCAATTTTCTCACTGAAGATCATGCTTACAATCGAGCCCGCCAGTTTAGGCGCAAGACCTCGGTAGCAGCCATAGAATCCATCCATTTTTCTGATGTAACCAGCTTATAGACAATAAATACCACATATTAAGTCGTATTCTGTGACGCAAATTCTTATCTGGTTTTCTTATTTACTTTGTAATTTTTCTTTGCACCACCGTGTTACTTACCATACTGAAAAATATTTGGAAGCACCATAATTGGTCTACCGAAAAGGGATGTGCCGCGGCGCGGCGGTATAGGCTCATAGCCTAGCTGGATAAGCACCTTCGAGTATTCAAATGGATGAAGAGCGGCGCTTACTGCCAATCGCATTCCGAATCGAATCCATTCATTCACCTCTTTATTTTCTTGATTATCATTGATATTAATAAACGACGGGTCTAACGCGGACATACTTTGATGAGTTAACTGCAAACCTGAAAGTAATCACTGTAATTTTTTTCCTGGGAGTGCCTCTTTCGATGTTATGGAACCGGCGGCTGCTACAAAAAGTTCTCCGAATATTCGTAAAATTATTTTGACAGGTTATGAAAAAAATTGGCAATTCAAAGCTTTGTTCGTTTGCTTTTTGCGTTTGCAGATCGACACAGGGTGTTCACCTTTGGATGATTGCTGAAATTTTCGTAAAGTAGTAAATAGTTTACAACATAACAAACTTAATACGGAAAAAATTTTACTTTTTTATAAATTAACTGTATTATTTCCTTAGCGTTGTAGAGAGAGTAATTTTAAGAAATCGCATTTAATAAGTTATTTACCGTACAACCCGGACCGGATCCAGTAATTACAGAATACTCGAAAAATTTGCTCTCAAAAGTGGAACTGGAACAATGTCCAGAAGTACCCCAATGCGAAAAACCATATTTCGTGCCCCGATTTTGAGAAATAGCTTATTCTCTAGGTTTTTGTTATTGACGCTTACATGTAAAAGCTTGGAAATTGAATTTGGGTTGCACAAATTTGATTGAATAAATAAACAGGGGGGTGCTCGAGCCCACCCCCCCTAACTTTCAAATTTTCCTCTTATATATAGATAAAATAGTACCCTGAAATGCCAGCTTAATAGGGTCGAGCCCCGCCCCTAAATTTCATTCTGGCTACGCCAATGCACAAAATAGCTAATAAACGTTGACTTGATACTTAGTGCATTTTTACGTGGAGAAAAAGTCAGTTAAAAACACTCAACAGCAAAATTCCGGCGAAATGTCATCCGTTCTCTCATAAGAGAAAAATATCTAGAATAGTTGCAAGTTAGACGAACAGCTGATAGAATTTTTGTTTACATTCAAAAGTGTAAAATTTAAAACATACGAAAACTTATCACAAAGTGTTATCCTGACACCGTTTATTGATTTAACATATAACTACTTAGCTCTTACAAGTTTAATTAGGTGCATTTTATCATTTTTAACTTCCAAACCATCAAATTCAATTTTGTGAATTGCCAAAATTCTTACCAGCTGTTTTCCTGATGGCAGAAACTAACAGCTCCTCCTCAAAATGAAATGTCCCATTGCTCTCTCAATTTCCCCTACTTTGCAAGTTTTGCGTACGCGAACGCATAAAGCTCAAAGTTTTTGATAATTTTAAATAATTAACAAGTACACGAACGCAACTACTCTGTGATTGGCATCAGCTGATAACTGGCGGATTGGCGCTAGTGATGTCAGTGGCAAAAATATATCGACGTTTTTCTTTGATTCGATGCATCGAAATGTACATCAATATTTTTCGATGCATCGATTTGCATAGGATTTTTCAGATAATATTTCACAACAAAATATGTTATTAGCGAAATTGCACAAAGTTGGAGAAAATTACTGCAACTGAGCTAATTATGTTTCTAATGGTACTTTTTGGAGCCATTTCAATTTTTTGGTGAAAGTCACTTCTCTTTTTTGTACAATTAAAAAACTGAAATGACGGTTCAATGTACTACAGATGTCAGTTTTGAAAAAACATCGATGCATCGATACATCGACTATGGAAAATTGTCGATGCATCGAGCAAAGCATCGATATTTTCGATGCGTCGATGTTTTTCCGAAATCTCTAATTGCGCAACGCACGCACAGTGGTCAAAACTAAAATGAATCGTTTTTTACTTAACATTTCCTATATTGGCACAAATTTCCGGTGAGGTCTATCAAATTAAACTAGAAATGACTTAATTAGTAATCATAAGTACAAATATTGTTAGTGGTATTCAAAAAACATTTAATAAAGCAGACGAAGCACGCGTGGACACCAAAACTATTCAAGGTTGTATCGAGCTGGGCCTTCGCGCGCTTCATCCCATCAACGAAATCCAAACAGTGCTTTCTAGTCGGTAATGGCAATTCTGCATCTATTATCCATATCATATGTTGCGTGTGCGTTTGTTTTAACTTGACTTTTTTTAGCACCGATGCTGGTGTGCATGCGTTGCACTCGACTCTTCATGTTGACCTGCAACGCCGGAACTCGGAGCCATTCGATCCAACTACAATAACATGTGTTTTAAATAGTCTGTTGCATAAAAATGGACTCCCTATACGTGTGCTTAGCACCCAGCAAGTACCGGAGAATTTTCACTGCCGCTATAATGCTCTAGGGCGAACATATTTGTATCGTTTTGCGGTGGCTAAGGGCAGCAACCGTTGTGCTAATCCATTAAAGAATCACAACTTTTACGCATTTCTGCCTGTTGAAGAAATAGATCGATGCTTCTTCCTTCAGTAAGCTTAGCATATTTACAGCATGAATCTATTTATGTACTTTGCATACTTTACTTTTTCCAGAAATAGCAACTTCGATATCGAACGTTTGCGCTCTGGAACTCGTATGTTTCTTGGACTGCATAATTTTCGCACCTTTATGAACGTCAGTCGACAACATAGTCCTACACGTGACCATCCTAGGTACACACTGCGCGTAATCGATGAAATAAACGTTAAGCCTGGAAAGTCCGTGGCGATTGGAGCCAATGCCGAAAAATCTGAGAGTTTGTACCACTACTGGGATATTGAGTTTAAGGCAAAGTCCTTTCTTTATAAGCAAGTAAGTTTGTACAACAAAACTTAACGTGAATGCAGCTACAGCTTCTATTTATACAGGTGCGTCGCATGGTTGGTGCCTTACTTGCGTTGGCTACCGGACGAATCGATGAACGTTCTATTTATGAAATGCTAACGATCCCATCGAAAAACTCCTGGGATAATCGTGTGCTTCTATCGCCTCCTTATGGACTCTACCTCTGCCGCGTGCATTATAACGAAAAAGATTTGGAACTGCCAAAAAATACAAACAAAAATGAGCTTTCTACAGCAGCTTCAGAACAAACGCTCGGGTCTTAAACCCACTACAACCACTGTGACCACCGCCACTGGCAAACGGTTTATAGAAGCAAACTCATTTACCTCAACACCAGTACCACTTGAAGAGCAAACCTATGGCTTTATTGTTGACACTAAGCCAGACACAGTACCGGCATGTATATTACCCGAACTACTTTACTTGGGCTCACAGGACGCTGTAAATAATGAAAACGTTGGTACATTTAAGATAACACACATCCTAAGCGTTGGCATTGAGACGCCGTTTTTAGCTAACGGGGAAGTGCAAATAAAACATGTGCCATGTCTAGATTTACCCGAAACGAAGCTTTTAGAAAATGTCATACCAGAAACAAACGCATTTATAAACGAAGCAAAATTGTCTCAGGGGCGAGTTTTGGTGCATTGCAATGCTGGGGTTTCGCGAGCGGCGAGTGCTGTTATTGGCTACTTAATGCTGGAACGTGGCATGCCGTTTGATGATGCATACTCCTTAGTAAAGTTAAAACGAGAATGTATTCAGCCAAACGTAGGATTTATTAAGCAGCTAAAGAACTTAAAGATAGCCGACTAAGATAGCATACCACAATGTAAGTAACATAAAGGTATTTTTAGTAGCGTAGTGGAATGTAGTTATTTGTAATATTTTTTCTATGTATGTAGGTATAACCAGTGCTCTTTATTGTTTTGTATATTCTTAGGACGCATAAAATGCTTCGAAAAGCAATTATGCAATTACACAAATCTGTTTTAAAAGAATCGTTTTGAAAGCTTGATATCGATATCAATAATTTTAGGTTTTGATTAGTTAAAGCCAAAATATGGTAACCGCTTTGAAGCGAGTTTCTATAAATAAACACATCAGCTTGCTTTATTTTCTATATTAAATTTTATTGAATTTCATAATTTCCTCGTTCGTATAAGAGGTACAATAGGATACCATGCCCACTTGTATCGTTTTAATTTCTCTGCTAGCATAGGAATACATACAATTTATGATATATGTAAGTATAGCAATGCAATAATTTACATAAAAATAAAAGCGTTGTAATAAATGCTTATTTTTGTTAATCTTTAAGATTTTTGACTATGTCGAAATGTATGACTGCCACTGTTTATAGCGATTCTGCAGTGAAATACAAAATGTACTGTAGTGAAAGTCAACTCTCATAGCATACTTCTGTATGCAATTGCTTCCACGGACTTTTTCTACAAATAACTTAAACATTAAACGATAATTTAAAATAAAGATAAGAAATTTAATATACTATAGTGGGGTTTAAAGTGAATACATACAACTCGTATTAGGGCGATATGCTGCATTGATAACGAAATATTTACAAGAAAGTAAAATAAATTAGACTTTAAATACACACGAATATCTATATACTAATGTACATATAGTATATGTATAAGTGCATCTATTTGCATCTAAACACATTTGTTGTAGAAATTTGCGATTTATGTAATAATTGCTTAAACACTGTTCGCTTAAAATATCACATTTAAAATTATATTTAAATTAACTTTACTAATTACATACATACACATTTGTGTCCACAGTAGGCGCACGTACGCTACTCCAAATACATATGTATGTGCAAGTGCTTCGTCGGCTCACCGTAGTCGGGCACTTTCCACAACTTATTCCGAAAATCCTTAGCTAGTTGCCCAATCGTTTCCCATTATTGCAATACCGTTTAATCATCTCTCTATAAACGACAAGAATTTGGCTTTTTCGTTTCCGGCATTGTGCCGGGCAGTCAGCGCCAGTTGATTATGTAAGTTTTCTTATGTGCTTAAATTTCCTTTAGATACGAGTCCCTTAACTCCACTGTGCGTAGTATTTTGGACAATATTTTATTGCTGGAAGCAAAAAGCATTGAAGCACATTTATTTATTTAGCAGCGCCTTTAAGTTTTAATTAGCTCTCGGATTTCTGCTCTAAGGGGTGGAAGACTTTTGAAGCCTTTGACAAAAACAAATGGCAAAAATTTGTGTTGCTTTGCGGTCCTTCCATAATATGCAGTATATAGTGGCATACATATGTGTAGGCTAGCGGTATGCAACACAATACATGTCCAGCCCATTTATAGACTTAGCTGTACGGCTTGCAACATGGCCACCTTCAGGTCGGCTGCCAAGTGGCTGATGTCGACCACGGAGTCAACCATTTCCTGCACAGCTGTGACGCTGGGGAATTGCGCTGCGGCCTTCTTTGACTTTTGCACGCACGTTTTCAGCGCCTCGGACAGCGCGTCTGTGCAGCGCAAAATCTTCTCGCGCAGTTCCGGCTTAGAGACGTTGCGGTGCACAATGTCGCCAATGGTAACCAGGTTGTGCGCGCTCACCACCACGAACTTGCCGTAGGCAATGAAAAATTTCGGCGGCTGATTCTTCTCGACAGTTTCCAGAAAAGAGTCGATCGCTTGCTGCAAGTTGCCCATATGTGTGGATATTTGCACCGCGTAGTAGCAGACCAACTTTTTGTCCTTCTGCGTGAGCTCCTGTTTCTTTGCGTTTGCGTTGTTGTTGATTACCGGTGTTGTCATCACATTGGAAGCGGCCATAACCGTTGTCTCGGCTGCTTTGATGACTGTGTCGAAATTCTTTTTCAAATTAGCCGGTATTGCCTCACGCAAAGCTGAATTCTTTTTCGCTGCGGCATCTTTGGACTCAAAAGAAACGTAATCGTAGTCTTCCACCCACTCTGAACTGCCTCGCTTTGGTGTATTTTGGTCTTCCGCAGCGCTTTCAGCCTTCGTGCTGTCCGCCTCTTCCTCGCCACCCTCGCTCAGACTGTGTTTGAATAGCAGTGAGCCGTTGCCGTGTATGAAGGAGGTTGTTTGCCGTACATCCTCAGTGAGGGTTTGCGCGCATGCGATGAGCTGGTCAAGGCTGTCGGGCGGTTTGCAGAAGGTCTTGAACTTCTCGTCGTTGCGCGTAAGTTGCTCGATTGCCCAGCTTTGTGCGTCCAGTGCCTCGGTAGTGTCGTGTATCAGTTTGTCCGCATCACGCAGGGCCCGCACATGTGGCCTCAATTTGAGCGCCAAGTTGCGATCTTCCGAGCGGGTAGCGTTGCCCAGCGCGCCTTCACCGAATTCGCTGAGGTCATGTAGAGCGGTGCGCAAGCGAACGGCGGTTAATTTAACATCCATCAATACCGGTTCGAGTTTCTCGCGTAGACGCCAATTCGGCGTGACAAAAGACAGCAACCTGGAATGAGAAATGAGGTGTTAACTTAGAAGTTTTACTTCGCGTGTCTAGCGTTAGGCAACTCACTTTGTTATTGCTGTTGTTGCTTCGAATTGTAGCTTATCGAGGGTGTGCAGCGCTGAGGACAACTCCAATGGCAACTCCTTCGAAGCGGCTGCTGCCAGCAGCGTAGCGTTGGGCGAGGACTTCTCCGCAACCGGTGTGGAAAGATTTGACGGCAACGGAAAGTCGTAGGTTGAGCAGTTGCCATTGATAAACTGCACCGACTGCTGCCTTTGCTGAAGCAGTAGTTGCTGTTGTTGTTGAACCGCACGAACCGGCAGCGGATTACGACGCGGCACATCGTAGTCGGGCATATTCGCCAACGATGAACGATTCGACGATGAAAATGATAGACTCAGACTGTCGCTGGTAAGCAGCGATGAATTGGAGCTGCTGGGCGTCAGTGTACTTTGATGCTGGACGAGCGTCTGCAGTGGACGAGGCACGTCGTAGGACTCTTCTTGAATAGGCGTCGAGCAGACTTTCATGTTTAGCGGCATATTATCGCCGAAGCGCAGTTGCGTTGGTGTGCGACACACGTTCTTGGGGCAATCGTAATTGACTGGGGTGGCCGGCTTTGGTGTATCGTAAGTCTCGAACTCGCTGCCATTTCCGCTGCCGTTTGCGGCTGCCGCCGACATCATGGATATGTTCTGGTATATACTTTGGTTGCTGTAAAGCTGCTGAGACTGTGAATGTGGGTGACTCTGATGATGGTATTGATGTGGCTGGTGTGGCTGACTGTGCCGATGACTGACTGAAGATGAAGAAGCTGCTGCCGGCCAGTTGTAGATATAAACATCACCGTGACGCTGGGGAGTTATGACCTAGGAAAGGGCGGTACAAAGCAAAAAAGTCAATTATGTAAAGTAAAGTAAGCAATTAAAAGCGGAAACATTCATTGAATAGACTTTACACTTTCATTCAATAGATAATCGCACGAATATGTTGCAAAACACAAACATTGACCGACTCTCACGCTCACCTACTCAGACGGCACTTCCGCTGTGTATCCTTATCCCATAAATACGAGTGCGAACAGAGTGACAAGGAGTAGTACCGTAAAAAACCATCTTATCGATTTTTTTACACACCAAACCGAATTCAAGGTGGCACACATCAAAATAGCTCGCAAACTTTTGCTGCTCACGCTTATCAATTACATAATTTCGTATCAAAATTACAAAAGTAGAAAATTTCATAAAAAATAAGGCTTAGAAATGAACTACGCGCATTTTGTAAAAAAAAAAAATCCGATTGCAAATCGTTAGTCCTTGTGAGGTTTTTGTAACTTTGCTTGGCAGTGATATGGCTACGCGCACGAACGGCAACAGGGCACAGTTACTACTGTCGAATTGTTGGCCAAACAAACAGTCGCCCAACCGAGCAATCCAACGGTGAGGTACCATCATCGCGAGGACACCGCGAGTCGTAATTTGGCGCATGCGCGGTATTTCGTATCTCATAGATGGCACTGCAAGCGTTATGCGCTGATTCTGTGTGTGCAGCGCTCGGAGCAAGGACCTTCTCGGCCTCACATTAGCCGCCGTTGCTTTATCAGAAAAGTAAACACAGTGCAATGCATGTCACTGCCAAGGTAATGCAAGTGTGGTGCCCTTCCGACTCTGCTTTGGCGGCGGTTCAGAGGCTTGGCGGCTTGGTGGCTTGGTGGCTTTGCTTTTAATGTACGACTTTCGGCGTAAAGTCACGTACGGGCGTAGTCATTGTGTCTTGCAGTCTATGCAACAGAGAAATTTTGTGCAGTGAAGTGTGGGTGTGTGAGTGTGTGAGTGTGTGTGTGTATTTGTAGGATATGTGAGAGTGCTTCCTTATACCAGGATAAATCACTTTGTTTTTGCAACTAAGTCGGAGAAAAAGTGATTGTGGAAAATGAACGTTGAGTGCTTTTTAATTATGGCATTTGGTGTGCGTTTTAAAGTGAATTAAAGTCGGAGGCAAGCCGACGTAAGCTGCTTCTTATTGGGCGTGGAATCGGCCATTATAAGTTCAACCCGTCTTTTTCTCTCATAAAACATTTGAAATTCGGTTTGAATGGGTGAAGAAATATACTTTTATCAGTTAAAAATGTATGTTTTTTTTGAATTGGGGTTTATTGGCATAATACATACATATGTATCTACACATTAATATGTAGGTGCATTAGACAGGGTCGTGAAAAAAGTTTGTTAAAAAATTTATTTTTCAAATGTAAAATACATGGAATAGGTACTTCCATGCCCATTAAATAGTAACCAATTCTGAAAAAAGAAATACAGTTTTTTTTTGTCTACAATTCAAGGAAAAGGGAGTGGTTGCAACAAACAGTGGGGTT